TTTTCATGGGTACAAAGCACCATGTTCCCCAACCCAGACACTGCCCCCAACACCGCCACCACGTTTGAACAAAGAGAAATTCTCCTTTAACTTTTCTCCATAAGTAAGAGTGCACTAGAACATTCTCTGTCATTGCTCCATTGGTAGGCCTTTCTCTATTTCTCTGCAAGTTGCATTGCGGTTGCTTTTCCGAGTTGCTGGTTGATGAACACCGAAGTTGATGCTTAGCTGCTTGTAAAACTTTGTTTCAAAGACCTTGGTCTGAGAATAAGAAGCACATACACACATTACCCTCGACACCCTCCATTAGCAAGAAAAGGACAGCACCACCACAAATGGTAATCCTGCAGACTAGCTTTTCTTGTGGTACCTTGTAATTTTAATAAAGCATTGTCAGCTTTTTTCCCATATTCCACTGGGGTGGGAACCCAGCTGAGTTACCACACTAGTGAATTCTGTCCATTCGGTAGATTACCCATTTTCCAGCTCAATACTGACCTTTTCTGATAACTGGCTTTCAGATGTAGACAGTCTCCAGGGAGAGTTCACTGTATTCTTTTTTAGAGAGAGGTGATGGATTTAAAAAGAGCCTTTTTAAAGATCCATGAAAACCTACATCTGTAATGAATTTCCTACATGTGCCTTTGGAACATATTCTGGGTATGTAGAGATAAAATCTGTATTTTAGAACCAAATACCAGGAGACAAATCATGATAGATGAGTGGCATCTAGAAGCTTGCCAGGTAACTTTCTTGGGGGGAATGTTGAAGAATCAGCATACTGTTCTATTTTGAAAAGAGGAATTGAGAAAGCAATCTGTATTCTCAAATATTTAACAAACCTGCTCTGGGTTACTATTTTTAAAACGATTACCAGGTTTTCTAAACACTTAACAGGAAAAACAACTTAGCTAATTAAAACCAAGATGACCAGCGTATTGACCAACTTAAAATATGGGACAGGTACAACTAAGTATTCGAAATGCCATTTTCTATTACTTGGAAGATAGAGTAGAAATTCTTTTCCCAGACGTGTGTGAGTTTGTTCTTAAGCCTTAATACAATCAGAGGAGATTACAGTGCAGCTGTGCCCAATCCCAGAAAGGGGGGAGATGAGCATTGAGTTTGGCTCGTTGGTCATAAACCCATGTTCCCGCTGTTGATGTACCTCTAACAAGGGGCTGGTCAAGAGATACTATAGTTTGGGTGATGCTGCAGTGCTTCCCCAGAGCAGCCAGGAGAGAAGAATTATGAATCTATTTTACATTAAGACAGAGAAGCTAAGCCAGTTTTTCGGCTAGGTGATAAATTGGAATCCATAAATACAGCCATGCTAATTTGAAGTTCCTTAATTGTGCCATGAGAATGTGTACATTTAAAAGGATTTTTAAAAGCAATTACCAGAAATGCCTCTCTTGAGAGCAGTATTTGTGATGGCCTTTCCAGCCCACAGGGGTGACATAAACTCAGCCCTCTTGCTACGGGTTAACGGCGGGGGGGGGGGGGGGGATCACGGTGGGGGGCCGGAAATCATTTGGTGAAGGAAGAGGTAGAGGATTTGAGAGTTACTAACTGGAAATACCTTAACAGAATGCAGGACAATTTCTGGAAATAGGAAAAAATTTTTAAAAGATTTTCGAGTATACCTGATCTTTTTCTAATCTCTTGAAACTTCTTTCCACCTGTTGCCTTAATATCCAGGTGCTTTCTCAAAAGATCCCCCAAAACTATTTACCTAGAGCCTATCCCTGAAAGAAATTACTTTGTGTCAGTGTGTACAGAGGGAAAAAAAAGATACCCAGGCATTAATGACTCCACTGAGTAGCCCTGAACATCAGTTACAATTTCCTTTTCTCATCACCTGGGGCTGTGCCTTCAAAGCAGGTAACCAGCTGCATGATTTGAACAGGCTTGATAAGGCTAGGTAGATAAGTGGGCCGGGTTTTACCGTACAGCGCAACCCTGTTTGTTTGTGGAATGGACTACTTCAGTGAAAACTGGTTACATGTAGTTCTATTAACTGTAACCATAGATACCGACTTTAAGATCCAGCTCTTCACACCTGCCTGAGGGTGGACCCCACGTGGACACCACTTTTGAACAGACAATTGTCACAGCACTCTGGCTCCCAGAGTCAGAAGAGCATTTTAATTTCTTATCAAGCTGCCAAATTCTACTGATTATCCTCATCAGTTTCTCTCACTGATGGCTAAATGGCAAATGAGCTACCTAGTTTGATTTGGACCATGTCACCTCTAAATTTTCAAAGTCTCAAGTAGTTTGGCCTGCAAGGGGGGAAAAGGGCTACTCTCCATGGACGCAGCTCAAATGAGCAAACTTGAACTTCAGAGTTTGGACCTTCCCCTTTTGTAGAATTGTGGCTAGATTTCTAGACCGGGCTGCTTGGTATTTATTGATTTATTGGTCCTACTGTTCAGTATACCCATCAGCCTTCCTGTCTCAGGCCCTAGGAGTAGACATAAAGATAGTGGAAGGAGCCCCTCTGGAAATGGAAATTGGCAACCCTAATTTGGGTTGTTCCCCGAGTCTGTGTTGCACGTGTGAAGTTGCTGGTCACCCACATCTTTAGGCTACGTGAGTGAATGCAGCAGGTTGTCCCCCAGCAACCTGTGGCTGACCCAGAGCTGTCCTTTCCTCGACCTAGGAACATGGGTTGTCATGAAGTTCACTGCCATTATTATCCCATTTTCTGAATCCTGTCTCTGACGTGGTCTGGTGTAGACTCTTCTAGATGGCTGTTTTCTTTGAAATGTGCCCTGTCCTCTCTGCAGGACAGATGTCTCCTGGAACCCTGGTCTGTTTTCTCATCCTTTCAGTCTACAAAATTAGAAGCGTCCCCAGGGGCACCTCACAAATAGCTTTTGACCTTTGGAGGGTAGAAATGCTTGTGCTTGACGGGGGCCACCCTCATTTTCTCCCTCCCACTGGGGCAGGTGGTTTATTATCTGCTGCTGGATGCTGTCCAGGGCCTGATTGGTACTGTTTCCCCTCCCTCCTCCCCACCCCTCCCTCCTCCCACAAGCCAGCCTTCTAACTGCTTTTTATTCTTGGCTCCAACTCTCACTGATGAGGTGAGTGCTTTTTCTGTTCCGCATCACTGCAAAACCGAGGCCCTGCATGCTCTCACTTAGAACTGCCTCACCTGACCTCACGCACAGTGTGAGAGCTGAAGGTAAGCCCCACATTTTGCCAGATCATGGTGAACAAATAAAAAAGCGACTCTGATACAGTGACTCACAAATGCATGAAATGTTTGGATCTCTAGACTGCCAGAATTTCTCTTTTCTATTTCCTGTTTGTCGTGATGACATTTTCCTTTCTGTGACTTTTTTTTTTTTTTAAAGAGAATAGTGTAGTACCTTGAAACATTTGCGAACGGTTCTAATTGTTGTCACTATTTCTATTTGACAAGTTCCAATTCTTTCAAAATCATTGTATTCGGTTGTGCACTAGTGTCAATAAAATTGACATTTGTGAAGCAATTTCTGGCCTTTTTCTCCGGGTTTCGCTGGGTCTGGTGGTGTGTGGGGTGCACGGGTCTTTGTCTAACAGTGATGCGTATTAAAAAATGCCAGGATTTCCATGGAGGGATTTTCAAAACGCAGACTTCTTTAATCTTGCTCATGTTTTCAAATCTCGTTCTTCGGGGATCGTCGTACTGACCCAGAGTCATGTAGCAGGACATCTGCTTTTCGGCTGCTCTTCTGGGTGTGCTGGCTTTTCCTGCATGTATTGGCAACAGCGCTAGCTGGTCCAGCTGGGGCGGGGCGGGGGTTGGTGGTTTTTCATGGTTGGTTCATTCCTACTGTGATCAAGTTCACTACCCTCCATTCTAGGCCATCCCCATCTTGTAATTTCAAAGTGGATATGGATGAATCCAGAGGGAGAGGATAGCTGTCAAGAAAATGGGGTATGCCCAGAAAATGGCACTTCACCTTTCTCTCCAAGATCCTTGTCCGTGTGCGGAATAGCCATGAGCTGAAACCGCATTTTGGAAAATGAGAAAGCATTTTACATCGTCTTTCCTTAATAATGGTAACAGACGGGACTGCAGGCTACTTGAACTTTGTTTACCCTCGCGCTAGCCCTAGCAAACCTGTGTTAGAATTACAAACGTGTTAGGTGAAAACACGCAGGTAGAAGTATATTCTGAAATGTCCTGGTTGGCTTCAACGGGGTGAGGTTTCGAGACTTGCAAAATTCTGTTGGCAAAATGTTGCATGTACACATCCTCTCCTTTGGCTGACGTATAATGGGTAACGATACATTTTCATATTATTTAATGTATCCTTTGCAGAGGAATCATTAATGACCTGTCACTTTTTGACTCATCAAGGGGAATTGTGATAATGTAATGACCTCCAGCTTTGCATGTGGTGCTAGTGTTTCTGTCCCAAACAGTGAGAGAGACACGGAATGCCATCACCAGGTATAATAAGCTTGCTTCTGTTCTTGGTAGAATGGGGAGTTAGCTTCTCGTCCTTTCCTTCGCTGTGACCCGTTGTTACAAGGTGTAGTCTGTCCTGGGTACATCAGTCATTTAGTTTCCTTTTAGAATAGCTCTGTTTTTTTAGTCTTTTCTCATGTCTCCTGGTGGTATAGTCACTGTTTTCTGGAATAATTCATAGAAGCTAAGGCAGTAGTAAGGAGATGAAGATCCTGTTTGGGGATCCACTGTGCTTCTAAACATTCCCTGAGCAGAGTTCTCTGCCTTATTAATCACAGAACTCTGGCTCCATTGACTCATTCCCACTATGGTATCTTTAGTATGAAGGCAGCTGCAATTCAGAGAAAAACTAGAAAATCGTGAAGCACATTCAATACGCAGAATGGTAGTCAAGGTTCCAGAGATTTGATCTGATAAGGGGGAAAGTTGTAAGTAGCAATCCGGTCCCAGAAGGAATTACTTTTTTTTCTCTCTCTCTCTAATACTTCTCATCCTCAAATAGGCTCCCTGACCGGTAGCCCTCACCTTTCAGAGCTGTCCATCAACTCCCAGGGAGGAGCTGTGCCCGCCAGCGTGATCTTGTCTCCCAGCCTGAGCCCTGACGCCAAGCAGGCCTCCCCCTTGGTCAGCCCGCTGCTGAATGACCAGGTGTGCCCACGCACCGACGACGAGGAGGAAGGCCGGAGAAAGGTGTGGGGACCTGCATGCACACGCGTTACTTTTTTTTTTTTTTTTTTTTTTCCCTCACTGCAGTTGTATATATATAACACCTGCCATTTTAACCGTTTCTAAGCATATTGCTCAGTGACCTTAAGGACATTTCACAGGATCATATAACCATTGTCACCATCCATCTCCAGAACTTTGTCACTGTTCCAAACTGAAGCTGTCCCCATTAAACAGGAAATCTCCATCCCTCCCCTTTCCCCAGCCCCCAGCAACCACCACTCTGCTTTTTGTCTCCGGATTCGACTGCTTAGGTACTTCATCTAGGAGGAATCCTGCGGTATTTGTCCTCTCGTGTCTGACTTCGTTACTTAGCATCACGTCCTCAAGGTTCTTCCACGTCGTAGCGCGGGTCAGAGCTTCCCTTTTAAGGTTGAATCACCACCCCCCATCGTATGGGCAGAGCACAGTGTGTTTATGCACCTGTCCGTTGGTGGACAGTTGGGTTGCTCACTCCTTTTGGCTATGTCGAACGCTACTGCCGGAAACACGGGCATCCGGGTGTCCGAGTCTCCGATTTCAGTGCTCTCCTGTGTATCACCGAAGGTGGAATTGGGCGGACTCTTGTGGAAGCAAGCAAGATGGCTAGCAACAAGAATTGCCTTTTACTTACTGTTTAAAGAGAAAGCAAAACCCGTGGCTGACTCACTGTAGAGAGGTGCCTGCTCACCTAAGCGATGGCCTCCCAGGAACCGGTGGTGTCGCCAGCTGCTTTCACCTCGTCCCCCTTAGCTCAGCCACCGTGTATTTCCACGGACACCCTAGCTTCCGTTTCCCGTACACCACCACCTCCAGCCCCCTGCTCCCGGGACAGAGGCCGCTGTGGTTTCTGTTGCTTTGATTTCCTGGAAGGCTGCGTTGCTCTGATATCTTACTAGTCGGTTAGATTTTCGGACGCCCAATTTTGAATGAATAGCCCTCTGCGGTGACCAACATACTCCTTGGAGGCTTTTGAGGGTAAGATTTATGTGGAAGGAAACGTTCCCAGGCTCTTTCCTCATCGTGAGAATCCATTCTCCTAGTTCCTCGCACAAAAAGGAGAACAAGCAAGAGGTTCTTTAGCCTTGAGCCCCATTAACAAAAGATCGTAAATTAGCAATGTATCACTTTAATCAGGACATTCTTAGAGACTTATGCTCAAAGATTATTATTACGTCTTGTTTCTTCTGTGGATTTTGCAGAGATTCCCAACGGACAAGGCGTACTTCATTGCTAAGGAAGTATCCACCACCGAAAGAACATATCTGAAGGATCTTGAGGTCATCACTTCGGTATGTGTAGCATTTCCCCTAAAGCATTCAATTACATAATTTATCTCAACTCTGATGTAGCTTTCAGAGAAGAGCTGGATCTAATTAAATGTTGGGCTCTCTGACTGCAATTAAAAGGATTTGGTTCTGGGTTATAGAAATTAGACGGTAATAGTATATTTAATTTGGAACATGCTCTATAAAAATTTTTATAATTGTGATTTTTAAGTGCAAAGGAAGGAAGTTTCTAAAGTGGAGAAAATTAAAATAAAACCTCTTACTTCCTGCTTTGCACCCAGGCAGAATAGTTTGCGTTTTGCCCGGCATCAAATGTAGCTACTTCTGCTTGGGGAAGACCCCAGAGGTGAATAGAAGCCTCGTTTTAGCCTTGGTAATAAATTGAGCCATGTCAGCAAATCTGCCAGAAGACTGCCTTTTATTATTTTAATCAGTTCTATTCAGTCTTGGAAACAAATTCGAAGCATCGCAGATAGTTTTATGATCCCTGGATTCTGGGAAAGAACTAGCCATTGGAGGGTCTGTAGGAAGCGCGGGGCTTCTGTGCCTCTGGGGCATGTGAATGGCACCTGGCCCTGAGCAGGTGCTCGCACAGGTACTCGGTGAACACCGTGGGACAGCCCTGCCTCACCGCAGCGGGGTGAGTAACTGTGTGTGAAGGCAATGGCTTTCTCTCACTGGTACAGCCTCCTCTGTGCTCAGCATTTTCACAAAGGAGCAGAGATGGATGGTCCTGACGGATCGAACCAGAGGGTGTGCGGTGGTCTAAATCAGTGGTGACCCAGTGAGTTGGCCAAAATGCAAGTTCTGATTTGAAGTAGCTGCCCATTTCAGAGATTGCTCCTGGCTTCAACAATCCACTGGTAACAAGTTGGGGGAAGCCCTGATAATGAGCTGGGTGCTTCTCACCCCATCGATGGAAGAAGGGAACAGCAGTAGGGCCCTGGTGCTCCTGAATGCCCCAGATTCAGCAGCAAAGCCCTGTGTCCTCCAGGCACGCTGGGCTGCGCCGATACTTCTCACGAGTTGCCACCATTCACGTGTCCCTGTGTGTGGTCTTTTTATTCCAGTGGTTTCAGAGCACGGTGAGCAAAGAGGACGCCATGCCCGAAGCCTTGAAAAGTCTCATATTCCCGAATTTTGAACCTTTGCACAAATTTCATACAAGTTTTCTCAAGGAAACCGAACAACGACTAGCCCTGTGGTGAGCACAGTGATGTTTAACAATTACATATGCCCCCACGGCCGCTCTCTCCCCCTCTCCCTCGTGTTTTTGGGTGGTTCCTTTTACGCATCTGTCATGCCCAAAGATAGAGTCAAGCACCTGGCTTAAGAGGAGCCAATCTCAGAAAATGGTTTTCAGGGCAATTCTGTGGGTATTTAGATGTCACCCCGGATTTTTGTTCCCTTTGGTTTACAATTCTTCAGAACACATGTTTTCTTACAAGTAAGTGAATCTCACAAAGTAAAGATGGTAGGTACTTCTGGAAAACTGGTGTGGGCTTTAAGGAATAGAGGCACATGGAGGGACTTTCAGGGGTGTTGGTGGTAGTTCACTGATGCTTGCTTTATAGTCCTTTGTGAAGTATCTGTATGTCTCACACAGTTCTCAGATTTATATTACACGGCGTTGAAAAAGTGCTTAGAAAAACGTAGGGCCCAATGTACCATGCACTTGCACCTTGAATCCCACTTCAAGGAATTGATCTTAAGGATGCATTTATAATGTGATATGACATGACAGAGATAGCCACATTAGAATTAAAAGATTGCAGATGATCGAAATGTCCATGAATAGATTGGTTCAAAGTAATATTGTCCATTTAATACCAAATAAAACATTAACCTGGGAGGAAGAAGAAGATGGTACAAAAAGTCAGGAAACACCTGGTGTTCTGTAGGGTGCAAAATCTAGTATACCCCTCCCTAAAATAGAACCTTTACAGAAAACTCTTAGGGTTTTTTTTTTTGTTTTTTTTTTTAAAGACCATTTTATGTAGACACTTGGGGAGTTGACTGTCTACTAAGCATGTATTTAAAAATCCCAGGAGAAAATAGCCAGAGGCTTCTGTGTCTTTGGCAGAGGTGGATGCTGTTGTATATTGTATCCTCACTGTAGGGGAGAATTTGCTTTAAAGTAGTCTCAGGGCATTTAGCGACTGGGGGCCTGAGGGAGCCGTGGATGATGTCGTCTCGGCCCAGGTGATTCCAGACCATGGGATTCAAGTGTCAGCTGAACAGGTTCGCGGGGCTGCTCTCCTGTGTCATGAAGGGAATGTGCTCGGGTGTCTGGCTATGTGTGTGCTTGAGGATAATTCACATGCAGTCCTCGCCCCTCAGTAGGAGGAAGTGGGATGCTTGACCAAGATGGCCCCCAGGGAAGGGAGCACAGCCAGGACTGAGCAAGAGCCTCATGGAAAGTGGGGAAAGATTGGAAACCCCACTTGAGAGTCTTACTCTAGGTTGGTGGTATGAATGTAAGAGAAATGACACTTTTTAAAATGAAAAAAAGACTCTACAGGATCTAACTTTCTTATTTTACCTCACAAAGTTTACCTGGAAGCTTTTGCTTGCATTCCACCATATTATGTTGCCTCATCATTCCTACGAAGCTCGATGATGCTTTCATAGTGGAGTCAAAGAAGTTAGAGCTCTGGAGAAATCAATTCAGTTTGTTTTGTGGCCAGTGAGATGTGTGTTAACACAGTCTTAAGTCTTCCCGTAGACTCAGAGCTTCTTGAGTTGGTGTCCACCTAAATAATGGCAGTTGACCTCAGTAACGTTGGGGAGGTCACACACAGGAAATGCCCCCAGCAGGACCCTGGCAGCCCAGCATGGTGGCTTTAGCTAGCTCCTGCCATCACAGAGAACTCAGGAATAAATGCCATGCTCTTGGATTTATCTGTGACCATAAATTTTTAGCATCTGGCCCTTAACTGTGAAAGAATATCCAATTGCCTGAAAAGCAGCTGCTATCGTTTATTTCCCAGAGGATTTTCAGTAGAGTTTCTTTCAAAGATCTGTAATTTTATTCATGTTTTACACTGCAAAAGACTCAAAGCTAGAGAGAGAACAGATAGTCGGTATGCTGCTCAAGGACATGACATTTCCTTGCAACAGTGGACCCAAACCAGATTGATGACGTTTATCAGGAATAAATGGAAAAGTCTGCTGTTAAGGTCAGCTAATCATTTCCTCAAGTGCATGACGAGGAAGACCTGCTTGGCAGGGGTTCAAGGCAAAAAAGGCTGGGTGGATGAGTGTAAGTATGAGCCAATAGAGTAACGTGGAGAAGACCCGGCGTCTTTCTCTAGCTCTCAACGCTGGCTGCTCCTTCCAATCATCTGGAACCTTTAAAAAATCTTGATAACCAGCCAGAACCCCAGACCAATTATATTGGAATCTCTGAGAAGTAGGACATAATCATCAGTGGTTCCTAAAGCTTCCCAGGTGATTCCAATGTGTAGCCAAGGTCAGCAACCCTTGTCCTGACTGTCCTGAGTATGAAAGAGACCAGAGTATGACAAATGAAACCCTCAAGGCTCAGGGCTCCTTCAGAACACGGGGCCCAGCTCTGAGTTTCACATTTGACATAGGTTAATAAGAGGATGCATTTCATTTAAAAAAAAAAAAAAAAAAAAGGGTGTTGGCTATATGGGCATTTGTCCTAGAAGAGAGAAGATTTTAGAATATATGTTGGCTCTCTTTCGGCCGGTCATGTGGAAAAGGGAGTGAGCGTCTTCTTCACTGTACCAGAGCACAGAATTTAAACGGTACATTTCCAAAGAGGCACGTCGTGTCTAAATATAGAGAAGGCTTTCCTAACAGTAACAGCCGTGAGAGACTGCCTTATGAGGTAGTGCGCTCCTCTACCTTGGAGTTTCTTGAGCAGAGGTTGACTGTTTTTAGAAGGTATTTATCTACTGGGCAAAACCCCAAATCTGGCAGTGCCTCAGGGTCACCTGGGGGTGGGAGTGGGGGGTTTGAAAAAATACAGATTGCCCATCCCCATGCAGCCCCCCTGCATCAGAACATTGGAAGGAGTCCCAGAAATGTATTTCTGACGTACTTCTTGAGATGACCGTGATGAATACCTCTTCTGGACAACTGATAGGGAGTTCCTCTTACAACCCTAGGATTCTCTGATTCTTTGATGTGTATTTTGGTTATAACTCTTGTGAATGCATGCATGCATGCTCGCACAGATGGGTGAGTGAGTGAGCGAGCCTAGTGTCTGAGTGTGAGGCTTTGCCCACTGGGGGCTTGCAGTCTCGGCAGGTGGGGGAGGCAGGCATGGAGAAGGAGGGCCAGGCCTTCTCATGGATGAGTGGTGGGCCATATCCCACATGAGCCCCGGGGCATCACTGGCCAGTTCTGCTTCGAAGGACCTCTGGGCCATTGATGCCTGCACAGCAGAGACGGCCCGGGAGTGAATATGTTTAAGGAGAAGAATGGAACACAGAGAGGTTTATTAAGAAAAGGAGTTCACACTGAGTTCCTGACCGACAGGCCACATAGATGTAGGTGTATAGGTATATGAATGCGTGTGCGTATTCAGTCTGTGATCTGGGAAACCGGGGCTGGCTGATGCAGACTGGGATGGCTGTGTCCTCACTGGGTCCACACTCTTGGTAACACCACCAGCTAACGTCTCTCTCCAGCTGCCTGGGGCCCTTGCAGAGCTTCACGCCTCATCTGTCACATGTGCAGTGCAGGCTCTACCTCGTACGGCTGTCACACGGACTAAATGAGACCGTATTAGTGAAGGGCTTGGTGTTCAGCACCGTCCACAGGAAGGGGGGGTGGGGAGCTGATCATTTTTTATATTAACTTTATTTTGAAATAATTTTAGCTTTAGAGAAAAGTTACCGTGACAATAGAGGTTCTGCATGCCCTTCGTGCCTGCCTTTCCCTTAATGTCAGCTTCTTCTGTCCGTCTGAGCCGAGAAACTCACATGGCTAAGTTATCAAGTAAACTCCAGACTTTGTTCAGTGACACTATTTTTTTTAAAGACTTTATTTATTTAACAGAGAGAGAGCACACACAAGTAGAGGGAGGGGCAGAGGGAGAGGGAGAAGCAGACTCCCCTCTGAGAAGGAAGCCTGATGTGGGGCTCCATCCCAGGACCCTGGGATCATGACCTGAGCTGAAGGCAGATGCTCAACGACTGAGCCACCCAGGCGCCCCCCAGTGATACTATTTTAAATGACTGTTATTAATGGAAAAAAAAATCTAAAGTTTACTGTGCACCTAAAATTGCCCCCACATTTGGTACTTCATTGACACAGCCACCAGGCTTTTCCTTTGCAGTTCTATGTTAAGTTGTGCTATGCTTCCATCAGCAGTGGGAGCCCTTAGGGCAGAAAAATTACCAGGACATTTTCCTGCACGACGAGGCTGAACCCCTGCTCAGTAAGCACACCTGTCCGTATCCAAATGCTGCGTTCTCCTGAGGAAACACCCCCGAGAGGAGGATGGACTGTTCTATCCTGGCCAAAGCCCAGGCTACCCTGTTTCTTCAGAAACAAGGAAACAGGTTTGGTGACCTGTAAAAACATGAAGAATGCTTTTCTTTTTGAAAGCCAGGATGATCTACTCAGCTATTCAAAGGCATTCAGAGAAAGCCACTTACAGCCTTTGGCTTTCAGAGCAGAGTCCCAAATTCCAGCCCCGAAATGCCTGGCAGACACAGAGCACACACTGGCCAACTCACTCCCCAGAGATGGATGAAGACCTGCTCTGCACAAACTCAGCTCACAGGGAGCTGGGGCCACGCAGAAGAGTTCTGCAGAGAGGCACTTGGGATAGGCTCTGGGCGCATGTGGTGCTCAAGAAGGATCAGCTGCATGTATTAGAAGAAACTTGCAGTAGATTTCCTTGGAAGGGGTGCAGAAGTCTAGCTAGGAAGTCTAGGAGGGGTGGAGAGACTGGAGGTCGAGATGTCACGGAGCAGACAGCTAGGGCTCATGGGACAAAGGTGAAGGGAAGGGGGAGGCCCCGAGAGCTTTGATCCTGGCTACCTGAGAGGATGCTCGTGAATTTAAGAAATTGTAAGAAAAAAGGAAGGGGCGAGTGTAATGGAAGGAAGATGAGTTTGCTTTGGGGCACATCAATTTTGAATTGGGGTCAATATTGAAATCCTGCCAGCAGTTGGAAACACAGGTCTCGGGCTTAGGAAAGAAATCAGGTGCAGGTGTGGATCT